GTAAATTAAGGCTAAACAATAACATTGCAAATGTTAAAAATAAAAGCCTTCGAGACTTAAATTTAAAGCTTTGAAGGCTTTTAGTTTATTTAACTTAAAATCTCAAAAAACACAAACCAACGAAGGTACCATAAAATACAACAAACCAAAAAATTTATTAAAGTAAAGATTCTTATTATAATTACTAGGAACGAAAAACCTACAATAAAAAAAAGAAAGATAACCCATTAATGAAACTAATGAACTAAAAGAAAAAACAAATACCACCATCAAAGGTATGTCTAAAGACATAAAATGAAATAATCCAAACTTAAGAAAAAACATATAAAAAGGAGGTAAACCAGAAAAAATCATAAAAACCATTAATATTATATAAGACCCATGCTTATGATAAAAAGAAGAATAATAGCTATAAAATAAAGAAAAAACAACAACTATAGTAAAAAAATAGAATAAATTTAAAAACAAAAAAACATTAAACATTATAATAGAAGCAAAATAAAAATAAAAAGAAGCCATCAAAGAAGACCTGACCAACATATAAATCAAATCAAAAGAAAAAACAATAAAAAAAGATCCAAAAAATAAAGATAACAAAAAAAGGAAGAAAACCATTAAACCATTAACCCAATTAATCAAAAGAAAAATAGGAATTTTTTGAAAAGTAATAAAAATTAAAAGAACATTAAATCTAATTTTTCTAGAAAAAAAATAATTCCAAGAATGTGAGGGAAACAAACCCATTTTCAAAAACAAAGAAAAGATAACTAAATTTATGAATAAAGAATCATCAAAAGAAAAAGAATCTCCAACACCTACAGAAAGTAAATAAGAAGAAACAAAAATCAACGACCCCAACACCTGGACTATAAAGTAAGAAAAAGAAACTTCCCCTAGATAATAAAAACTATTAATAGTAATTGATGAAACCAGAACCAAAAACAAAATAAGATTCAATTCAATCATCACTCAATAAAAATACCAAGAGATCATCCCAATAAAGACAAATATCTGAAAACCATATAAAAACAACCCCCATAAATACAGTCCCAATATCAAGAAGATTTCTCTTTTTATGAGGTATGAACTCATTAGCTTAAATAGCTTATCTTAATAAAAAATGTGGGAAAGAAGAAAATTGTAAATTTTCCCGTGATTTATAGTCTCCTACAGCTACAATGTGGTGTATTGCACATTAGGTATTGACCCTAAAAGCTAAATTGTAAGATTTGTTTTACTATAGTAAAACTTTTCTCAAAAAAAGATTTAAAAGAAATAAATATAAATTCATTATAAAACACTCTATAATAGAAACCTATATAGGGCAAAAGCTGGCAAAAAGCGTGCCAGCCGCCGCGGTCATACGAATAGCTATGAAAATATTTAAAAATTAAGAAAAAATTCAAAATAAAATCAAAATTAAGAGTAAAATCCCAATTTTTTAACTTATTAATCGACATTTGTTCATAAAACAAACAAGGATTAGATACCCTTTTATAAAAAAAATCAGATAGTAAAAAAATAATTTAAAATCTAAATAAAATGGCGGTTTAATAACTTTTTAGAGAATCTTGTTCTATAATCGATAACCCGCGATTAAAAGTACTAGGATTTTTACTTATTATATCATTGTATAAAAACTTTTTCAAATTAAAAAAACCTAAGTTATAAAATGTAATTAAAACTACAAATCAAGATAAAAGAAATATCCAAGAAGTTAATGAGATGCCCAATAAATTTTTAGACATAAAAAAAAATAATAAGTTAAAAAGGATTTAAAAGTAAAAACAAAAAAAAACTTTTTTTTGAAAAAGAAATATTAAATGCACATATCGCCCGTCACTCTTGCAAAATTCAAGATAAGTCGTAACAAAGTAGATACAACTGAAGTTGTATCTTGAAAGACTAAGCTTTATAATTAAATAAGCAACTTTCTTACAATAAGTAGATTATTGTCTTTAAAAAACATATAAAATTTTAAAATTTTTAAAAAATTAAATTAAAAAAAAATACCTTTTGTATTAGGAACTTTCCAAAATAATCAAAAAAAGTCTCGAAAATTTTAAAACTAGACCAAAATAAAAATTATAAAAAAAAAACAATTTTGGTTTAAAGGCCATATACCATACTAAAATATATAGCTAGAATAAAAGTAATAAAAGAATAAAATCCTTTATAATATCAATATAATAAAAAAATTTTTTTAACAAAAAATAATTAAAGAAGATTTAAAACAAAAATTATATCAATTAACCAAAATATATAATAAACATTCTTTCAGTAAAAAAAAAAATGAAAGCACTATTAAAAAAAACTAATTTAATTTTCTCAAAATTTTTACTAGTAAAAATATAAACTCTAATTAAGAACTAGACCAAATTTAAATGGAATGTTTATCAAAAACACTTCCTATAAACATATAGGTAAATCTGCACAATGCTTAAAGTAAATAGCCGCCAAAGCGCTAAGGTAGCGTAATAAAAAGTCTTTTAATTGAAGACCAGTATGAAAGAAAAAACCACTTAAAATTTTCTTATAAGATTATTTTAACCTAAAAGATTAAAAAATAAAATCAAAGTTTTGTAAGACGAGAAGACCCTGAAACTTGACTAAACTAATAGTTTTCTGGGGCAGAAAATAAACAATAATTATTATTATTAATAATAAAAAAACCCAAAATAGGAATAAAGTACTTCAGGGATAACAGAGTAATTAATTTCAATAGACCTTATATAAAAAATAGATTTCGACCTCGATGTTGGATTAGGGAATCTATCTTCCGCAATAGGAAGAAAAGAATGACTGTTCGTCAATTCAACCCCTACATGATCTGAGTTCAGATCGGCGAAAGCCAGATCGGTTTTTATCTACAAAAAAATAATTTACCCAACAGTACGAAAGGACAATGGGTTAGGGAAATTTCGAGTAAAATACTCTAAATTATTTTACCCCCCCCTCCCTTACCCTAACCATTAAATATTGTACTTATCTATCCCTATAATCTTTTTCCTATCCTAACTCTTATCCCACCCGAGCCATATGTGCCTTTATCCTAGTTAATAGGGGCATCTCTAATTACAGTCTCTCTAACCTATAAATCAAACCTTAACAAATTACCTAACCTAAACATATAAATCATACTTATATATTACCTTATAATATAATCAACCATAAACAATTCTTTAATTACTAACATATAATTACTTTAATCTCTTTACTGTCTTCTGCTCAGTCTTATTCATCCTTCGCTTATTAATCCATGCCCCTATTAACTAGTCTATAGCTACATATGGCTCCTCCCACGCTAAGCTTTAAGCTCTTTACGTCCACTAAGAGTAAGTAAGGTGTTTCTTTCTTTTATATATATATATATTCCATAGGCTTAGCTCCCCATTCCATCTTATAAGTTTGTATCAGACATACTTAAAGTGGCAGAAAATGCAAGAAATTTAAGATTTCTCCATAACTAAAAATTCTTTAAGAATAATAATCCTTACAGTAAAAACATTTTTAAATTTATTACCAATTCTTTTATCTGTAGCATTCATCACACTTATAGAACGTAAAATTCTGGGTCTAACAATAATACGTTTGTCTCCACAAAAAATCTCAATAGCTGGAATTCTTCAGCCCATATCAGATGCTGTAAAATTATCTAACAAAGAATCTAATATCATAACAAATTCATCAATAATTTTATTTTCTATAATTTCAACTATATTCCTAACTTCTTCATTAATCATCTGAAACACAAACATAACAAACCCTCAAGTTTTAAGAATTAAAAACAACATTCTATTTATCATTACTGTTCTATCTTTAAATTCAAGAATAATTATCTATATAGGTTGATCCTCCTATTCTAAATACAGCCTAATAGGAGCGATCCGATGCGCTGCCCAAACCATTTCTTACGAAGCAGTCCTAATAATAATCCTAGTTACCTTTATTTGATCAATAAAATCCTTCTCTTCTCAGATGTCACAAACTTGTAAAACCAACATTATATTAATCTTACCATTAGGGTTAATAATATGACTACCAACTTCTTTAGCAGAAATAAATCGTACTCCTTACGACTTCTCAGAAAGAGAAAGAGAACTAGTAAGAGGATTCAACACAGAATTCGGATCTAAAGAATTCTCAATAATCTTTATTGCAGAATACTCCAACATTATTTTCATAATAATAATCTCTTCATACATTTTCACTAGAATAAACTCAATATTCCTATTTATAATAACTTGAGTTCTATGAATTCGAAGAACTCTACCCCGACTTCGATTCGATAAACTAATAATAATAGCATGAAAATCTCTAATCCCATTAAGAACAATATTCCTTATCTTAACAATTATTATAATCTAAGGCTTTGGATTAATCCTAAACTTATTTTCAAAATAAGAAATAAAACCTTAAATATTAATAATAACACAAGTTAAAAAATAAATAAAGGTAAAAACCTGCCCACCCCAAATATAAGGGTACTCAGCAGGTATAGAACCAATGTACATCAGAAAAAAGAAAGAAGAAATCAAGACCCAAAACAAAAAGTATCGAATAAATCTAAACTTAGAAGAATAATAGTAAGTAAAAAATGGAAAAACATAATAAATTAAAACTGAAGAAAATAAAGCCACAACCCCAGCAACTTTCCCAGGGAAAGAACGTAAAATAGCATAAGAAAATAAGAAATATCATTCAGGCTGGATATGTGTAGGAGTCCTTATAGGATCTGCAGGAACAAAATTAACAGGATCTCCAAACAAGTATGGAGAAAAAAAAACAATAAACATAAATAAACCAAAAAGTAAAATTCAACTAAAAAAATCCTTTAAAGAAAAATAAGGATGAAAAACAAACTTATCTACATTACCATTTAATCCTAAATTTATTCTAGAACCATTAATATGTAAAAAATACAAATGCACTAAAATAAAAAAAGCCATAAAAAAAGGCAATAAGAAATGTAAAGAATAAAATCGGGTAAGAGTTGGAACTCCTACTGAAAACCCTCCCCAAATCCAATTAACAATATCTACTCCTACTAAAGGTACTACAGAAAAAAGATTAGTAATTACAGCAACAGCCCAATAAGACATTTGGCCCCAAGGCAAAACATAACCAAGAAAAGATACCGCTATAAGTAATAAAAGAATAGTTACTCCTCTAACCCAAACCATCTTGCTAACTCTTCTTTGAAAAAATAAACCACGAGCAATATGAAAGTAAATAAAAATAAAGAAAAGAGAAGCGCCGTTCATATGCAAGAACCGAACTATTCAACCTAGCCATACATCACGAGAAATATGAATTAATCTTCTAAAAGAAAGATCAGCAAAGGAAATATAATGGAATGAAAGAAACAATCCAGTGGTAACCTGAATAATAAAACAAACGCCTAACAAAGAACCAAAATTTCAAAAATATCTTATAGAAGATGGTGTCGGCAAGTCCCACAATCTAGAACTAACTATAGAATTTAACCCATTATATTTACGACTTAAAAAAATTTCTTTAATGATCTCAATTTTACAAAAATTGAATTTTTTTTTAAACTAAAAAAGAACATATAAGTCCGCATTGAAAATCCTTTAGAATAAGTAAAAAAAGAAAAAAAAGAAAAGTAAATTAAGATAAAAAAAACAAAAAAATAATTTAATCCTACACAAGAATAAAACAATTTCAAAGAATGAACCAATCCATCAAAATCTATCCCATTATAAAAAATGATAGAAAAAAAAATTAACAAAGAAGTAAATATATTTACATAACTGAAACTAAACTCATTAGGAAGTACTGAACAAAAAAAAACAAACATAACAATGATTCCTCCCAAAAAAATAAGCAAAAACATATAAATAATTCATCTTACCCCGGTCATCAACATAATATATCACCCAGAAAAAAAAGAAAAAAAAATTAAAGAACAACAACAAAATATAGGATTATTTATAAAAATATAAGAAACCGATGTCAAAACCATTATAGTCATAAGAATTTTCAAAGTTTAGTTTATATAAAACATTAACATTGGAAGTTAAATAAAAACCTTTGAAGTTTTTAAGCTTTTTATTAATAAAAGAAACTAATTTTAAACATTTTAATAGTATGCCTATTGTTATCAACATCGACAATAATTTACCGTTCAAAAAGAAAGATCATAGTAATCTTAACTATAGAAATAATTATACTATGCTCAGTCATAATCATAATAGCATCTAAATCATCTATAAAAATAGTATCAACTATAATCATTATCATAAGAATTTTGATAGTTACAGAAAGGGTGGCAGGAGTCACCATAGTAATCATGAGCAGACGAGAATCTGACGGAATAAACACGTCATTATGTAACTGAGTATAATTAATTAAAAAATGCCCAACATATACACCAAACTCTGTTGCACCATAACCTTAATATTTTACAACATATCAAACAAGATAGAAAATATATTCAGGAGAATAATAATATCAAACCCCAAAAGAACCCCACTAATATTGATAACTTCAATAATCATCTTAACATGCTCAATTAACCTAAAATCTAGGTTGTACAGTGACAAGAAAGAAAAAAAAGAAGAAATAACTCTTTACATAATCATAAGTATCTTATCTATTTCAGTATTCACTTCAACTAAAACTCTATCATTCTTTATCCTTTTTGAGATAACCATGATTCCAATAACATTTATCTTATTATTCTTTTCAAAAGAAAAAGAAAAAGTAAAATCAATAATATTCATAATAGCAACCAACATAATATTTTCTATGCCATTCCTTCTATACATTACCAAATCTAAAATAATCTTATCAAGATCTAACTATGAAACAATTTATTTGATAATGGAAATGAACTTAAGATACGTCAGATTCATAATTATATCAATAATACTAGTAACCAAATACCCATTAATATTTACTCACATATGACTACCAAAAGCCCATGTAGAAGCCAGAACCTCTGGCTCCATAATCCTAGCCGGAATCCTACTAAAATTAGGAACCATAGGAATAGAAAAAAACCTTTTATGCATAGAAATGGCTACCAAAAAAGTAGCAAGACTATATAAATCAGTATCCGTTCTAAGTATAGTAATAGTAACTATTATAGCTATACGATCTATTGACCTAAAAAAAATAGCAGCAGTCTCATCAATTATACACATAGCCATAGTAATAGTAAGATCAATATACATAAATACCTTGAGTACAGAAAACTCAAAAATTTTAATAATCAGGCATGGTCTGATTTCTCCACTTATATTCCTTTCTATCGGTCTACTATACGAAAACAAGAAAGAACGTAGATGTCTAAGTAATAAAAGCCTAGAAAGGATAAGAAAAACTTACTCAATATGATGGTTCTTAATCACAATATCTAATATAGGAATCCCACCTATATCCAATCTAATCTGCGAAATAGAAATCTTCTTCATAATAATATCAGAAGTATCCACCAATGTACCTGTAGTAGCATTAACTATAATCCTATCAAGAACAATAACAATAATATTAATTATAAAAATAAACTCAATAAAAGAAACAATAAAACCATCCAACACTTCAAAAATAAGTTCTATAAAACTATCCATCTCTAGATCTATACTAATAACAAGATCAATCACAGCAAATCTATGATTTTAAGTCTTTTTAGTTTAAATAAAACATTAGAACGTGAAACTAAAAATATAAAAGACAATAAGTTTTACGAAAATAATTTCGTTCATAGTATTCACTTCACTAGTATCAATAACCCTATTATCCTCCTCAGAATTAAACGGAATTATAATAGAACTTAAAATTATAAACATACTAAGATCTAGACTATCCTTCTCAGTTTCCATAGACAAAACCAGTCTAAGTTTCATAATAATAATTTCCATAGTAACATGTTCAGTACTACCATTCAGAACCATATACATAGAATCCTACAACAAAAAAAAAAAATTTTTTTTAATCATAATAATATTCTTATCTTCCATGATAATCCTAATCACTAGTGAAAGACTAATTTCTACTGTGACAGGATGAGACATACTAGGAGTAACATCGATCGCATTAATCATAATATACCAAAACCAAAAAACTATAATAAACTCTATACTTACCATATTCTTTAACCGTATTGGTGACTTTTTAATATTTTTTTCTATTATAATGTTTATAAACAACATAGAAGAAAAATTCTGTAATATCCTAAGAATAAACAGAAAGTCTTTAACCAATCTATCAATTGCCTTAATACTAACCTCAATAACAAAGAGAGCACAAGTACCTCTTTCGGCCTGGCTACCTGCTGCCATATCAGCCCCAACCCCCATTTCAGCGATAGTACACTCATCCACACTTGTAACAGCAGGAATTTACATTATTTTAAAAATAAACGAATCAATAAAAGACAGAATATGAATATTAACATCAACTACCTCTATTACGCTAATATTAGCTAGAATAGCAGCCAACATAGAAACAGACCTAAAAAAAATCATCGCATTCTCCACCATGAGACAGATCAGAATCATCATAATAATAATCTCCATAAACATAAAAACTTCTGGAATAATGCACATGATTAACCACGCAATATTTAAAACCCTGCTGTTCATAACAGCAGGATCAACCTTTTTAAAAAAATGAATAGAACAAGATAGTCGAAAAACAAAAAGATCAAAAACAATAAACAAACTATACAAAAGATCTTTAACATCAAGAATTGTATCAATAAGAGGAATCCCATTCTCATGCTCTTTCTTCTCAAAAGACAAATTTTTAGAAGAAATAAAATGAGAAAATAAAAATAGAGCCATAAGATTTATCATAGCTGCATCCAGTTTAGCAACAGTAAAAAAAAACAAAAAAATTCTTCAAAGAATAAAAAACGATAAAATAAACTCAGCATCAATCAAAAAAATATCCATCCAGCCCTTCTCTATTATAAGAATAGTCACAATCACAATTGGATCAGTAAACACATGAACCAACGAATATTTAACAAAACCAATCTTATATAAAATGGAAATCAAAATAAACAACCTAATAATCTTCTCCATTATAATAAATGAAATAAAATCAAAAATAAAAAAAACAAAAATATGAAGAAACAACATAATATTCATAAAATGATGATCCTCAAACTTCCTATTAAAAGTTAACAAAAAAACTAAACATATAGAAATAATAGACTTCTTAATAACGAGAAAAATTCAATGAAACTACAGAAACAAAATAAGCTTAAGAAAATTAAGATTGAGCCTATCAATTTCTACTATCTTATTAGCATCAACATTAATAACTCCTTATTCTTACAGTTTAAGAGAACATGACAATGAAGATGTCAAAGTAAAAAGAATAAAAATAAATCTCAATTCTTAGAAACGAAAATTCTATATGTTAAATACAACAAAGACTTTTAAAATTACTAATAGCATAAAATAATGCATTGAGCTTAGAACTCAATATAGAAAATAGTAAACGCCTAACAAGCCACATCATTACATCAAAATGAATAATTAATCTACTAAATAGAAGGGTTAAAATTTAAGAGTTAGAAGCTCTAAGAACTCCTTCCTTGAGTTAAATTCTAGTCAGTAACAATAACTAAGCTTTATTAATAAGCTAACCTCAAAAAGGAATCACCCTATCCTTAGTTCGAAATTAAGGAATTATTTAAAACAGACAATTTATTATTAAGTCAATGCAAAAGACTAAGATTATCTAAACTAAAAACTCCAATCAACCAACCCTTGTAACCATTCATAATATAAACCAAAAAGCAAGAAAATCAAAAAAAATAAAATGTAAATTGATCTATAAAACCCCCCGAAAAAAAAAAAAAAAAAAAAAATCAATGAAATTTCTAAGTCAAGAAAAAGAAATAGTACTGCCAAAAAAAAGTAATGCACTGAAAAAGAATATCGAGAAAAATGATAAGAAGAAAAACCGCACTCGAAAGTTCTAACCGTAATAAAATCTAACCTTCTTATAACAGACATGGATGAAAACAGAAAAAACAACAACAATCTAACAATTAAAGAAATAAACAAATATGTTAAAATTAATGGTAAAATCCTTTTGTATGGAAAACAAACGTACGTCAACCATACTTCCCCATCATGACACCATTAATATCAAGAATACTTAACTAATTAACTAAATAATAAACAAAGAAATACAAAAAAATTCAAACCACATCAACAAAATGCCAATACCAAGAACAAAGCTCAAAACTTAACATATGGTCAGAAGAAAGTATAAACAATACAAGACGTCCCATAGAAATTAACAAAAAAACAGTTCCAATCAAGACATGCATCCCATGAAACCCAGTTAATAGAAAAAAGATTCTACCATAATTGGAATCACTAATGCAAAAAAAGGAGCTTATATACTCTAAGCACTGAAAAAAAGAAAAAGTAAAACCCAATAAAACAGTTAAAACAAGATAAACCAAAGATTTTTTATAATCACCATTAATAATTATTATATGACAAACAGTAATAGTTACCCCTGAAGAAAGTAACAAAATAGTATTTAACAAAGGAACATTAAAAGAAGAAAATGTCAACAAACAATAAGGAGGTCAAAAAAACCCTTCCTCAAAAACTGGGGATATAAAGAAATGAAAATAAGATCAAAAAAACGAAAAAAAGAAAAAAATCTCTGAACCAATAAAAAAAACCATACTAAACTTTATACAAAAATCAATAGAATCAGAGTAACCCCCATCTGATACATACTCACGTGTGTAATCACGCCACCACATGTAAGAAGTAAGTATGATAAGAATCATAGAACAACAAAATAAATCTAAATATCCATATTTTAAAAATAAAAATAAGGAAAAAAACAAATTAAAGGAAGATAATCTAGAAAAAATGGGCCAAGGACTATTAATCAAACCAACATAATAATGAAACTTACCAGACATTGATTAATACTAAGTCTACAAAGAATCAGAAGCGTAAAGTACCAAAAGAGTCCTAAAAATATAAGCCTGGATCAAAGAAACAAATATTTCAACTATATTAAGAAAAACATAAAAAACTAAAAAGTATGGTAAAATAAAAACCAAGTTGGAAAGAAGAATTATTAACAAATGTCCTGAAAGAACATTAGCTAACAAACGTACAGTTAAAGTTATAGGACGGATAAAAACCCTAATTAACTCAACCATAGTCATAAAAAATACCAAGTATAAAGGGGTTCCTGAAGGAACCAAATGAGAAAGAAACCCACTAAAATTTTTAATAAAATTAAAAGCAAACAACCCTGACCAAACAACGAAAGACAAGCAAAGAACAAAAGAAGCGTGAGAAGTAATAGGAAAATTAAAAGATATGACAGAAGAAAAATTAATTAAAAACAACATAAAGAAGATCCTAATGAATAAATAAAAAGATCCTTTAACTTCAAACCCTGAAAACCCCAAAGAAACATAAAAATTTTTTAAAAAACCAAAAAGATTTAAATACATTAGATTTAAAAAATTAAAAAAATAAAAAGACCCCAATATAACTAAGTATAGAATAAAATAAATATAAGGAGTTAAAAAATAAATACAATAATCAAAAGATGTAAAAAGTCTTAACATTTATTAAACAAATAATTAACTTAAATTTTTAAGACCCCATTATAAAAAATAAAAAAATCTAACTCTATATCATAGGAAAGTATCATAGGAGCATAATGAATTAAAAAATTAACAAAAAACAAAAAATAAATTAATACTATTATTGATAAATTTCAATCTACATTAGAAAGCTGTGGAATAAAGGCTTCTATCTTTTCTGTGACATAGAAATATTAAAAATTTTAACTTAAGCCTCTACTCAGCTAAGAAACATTGCTCATAATATGATTAAAAATCATACACCTAAATTATTCGGCCACTTAACTATAAATTAATTAGAAAAAAAATCTGTAGAAACAGACTCTACAACAATAGGTATAAAGCTATGATTAGCCCCACAAATTTCAGAACACTGACCAAAATACAACCCTAAACGATTAAAAGAAAAACAAAACTGATTTAAACGACCAGGAACAGCATCCATCTTTACACCACATGAAGGTAGAGTTCAAGAGTGAATTACATCAGAAGAAGTACACACAAATCGTAAAGGAAAGTTATTTGGCACAACCAATCGATTATCAACATCAACCAAACGTAAAAAAGAATCAAACCTCATGTAAGAGTCTAAAGTCATTATCAAAGAATTACCATAAAAATAAGACCAGTACCACTGATGACCCACTACCTTCACTACCAATCCACAAAAAAAGCATGAATCCAGTACATACAAAGAAAATATAGAAGGTACAACAATAAAAATTAGAAGAAAAAAAGGAACCATAGTTCAAAAAAACTCCAATTCATTATTTTCTATAAAGTAAAAACTAGGATAGAAAGTTAAAATAAGAACTACTATAATATACAAAACCAAAAAAATAATAGAGAATAAAAATATCATAACGTAATCATATATAAAAGTCACATAATCTATCAAAACAGTTCTAGAATTATGGAAAGCAACCCTATTCCAAGTTATCATTAATTAACTAATTAAACATCAAAGAACCTTTACAACCTTTTATAAAAGTATGATCTTCTAAAGGAATCATAAGATTAAATTCTAAAGAAGTGGAATTACTCATAGAAACAACCATAGAGCTATAAGAAAAAGCTACTCATAAAACATACACAAAGTAAAAAAGAGAGAAAAAAGAAATAATTCTCCCAACGGAAGAAACATAATTCCAAAGGTAGAAAGAGTCAGAAAAATCAGAATACCGACGTGGCATGCCGTTAAGACCCAAAAAATGCTGTGGGAAAAATGTCATATTAACCCCCAAAAAAGATATTCAAAAATGAACCTTAAGCATATTACAAGAAAGATTAAACCCATAAAACAAGTAAAACCAATGGGTAACCCCAGCAAAAATAGCAAAAACTGCTCCCATAGAAAGTACATAATGAAAATGAGCAACTACATAATAAGTGTCGTGCAAGACAATATCCAAAGAAGAATTAGAAAGCATAATACCAGTAAGACCCCCCAAAGTAAATAGGAAAATAAATCCTAAGCATCAATAAAAAGGAACATCCATAATAACATCAGAAAAAGCGATAGTTGCTATCCACCTAAAAATCTTAATTCCAGTGGGAACACCAATAATTATAGTAGCAGCAGTGAAATAAGCACGAGTGTCTACATCCATACCAACGGTAAACATATGATGAGCCCAAACTACAAACCCTAACAATCCAATAGAAAAAATAGCGTATACTATGCCCAAATATCCAAAAGGCTCAGTTTTACCACAATAAAAAGAAATAACTTGAGAAATAATTCCAAACCCTGGAAGAATTAAAATATAAACCTCAGGATGACCAAAAAACCAAAACAAATGTTGATATAAAATAGGATCACCACCACCCAAAGGATCAAAAAACGAAGTATTAAGATTACGATCTGTCAAAAGCATAGTAATAGCTCCAGCAAGTACAGGAAGAGAAAACAACAATAAAAAAGATGTAACCAACATAGATCAAATAAATAATGGTAAACGCATTATATTTATTCCAACAGAACGCATTACAAAAATAGTTGTAATAAAATTAATAGAACTCAGAATAGAAGAAACTCCACCAATATGAAGAGAAAAAATCAATAAATCTACTGATCCATCAGAATGATAAAAAAAAGAAGAAAGTGGAGGATATACAGTCCATCCAGTTCCAGCCCCCAAAAAAAAAACAGAAGAAGATGAAAGAAAAAACATCGCAGGAAAAAGCAACCAAAATCTTAAATTATTAAGCCGAGGAAAAGCCATATCATGACAACCTATCATAATAGGAATAAGTCAATTACCGAACCCACCTATCAAAATAGGCATAACAACAAAAAAAATCATGACAAAAGCGTGAGAAGTTACAAAAACATTATAAGAATGGTCTCTAAAAAACAAGGAACCCGTATTTCTAAGCTCCAAACGCATCAACATTCTCAAAGAAGTACCATAAAATGAAGACCAAAACCCAAAAACAAAATACATAGTACCAATATCTTTATGATTAGTAGAATATAACCAACGGTTTACAAATAT